TGTGTGTGAGGGTGGAACATAGGGATATCCTCGTACTTACAGTGTTTTCTTTTGTTTTTTCTTATCCCCTTGTTGAGGCCTTATCTGAAAATTTTCTTTAAACATTACCACGTTGTGTTGTTATAAATCTCACCCTGCCCCCACCCACCCACAATGCATGGAATTCCTGATCACTGCGCCAAATTGATCTGTATTCTTGTTGTATTCTCTCCCTTCGCTCCCTCAGTCGGGGATCGTTAAATGTTCTGTTCAGAAATAAAATACATCAACAAAGATAATTTCAACTGATCTAGTTTATTAATGTCATCGACGTGTACATTTCTAATTATGCAATGGGGTCTCATCCTCACTGGGCAGCCGTTTCAGACACGAAAGGAAACACGCCTGCATTGTTTGACGGTTAAAAAACAACTCAGTGAAAAACCCTTCTACATCCCACATTCCCACGCTGGCTCAGCCAATCAAAATCGACTTCCTTATTTTGTCTTTCATCTGACCCTTAAGGTCAACCCCAGGAAGATAGCGCAGAGACACCTCCTCTAAAAAATAATAGTCTGCGAAACTATCATTTAAAACACACACACACACATACGTATATATATATATATATATATATATATATATATATATTGTCGCCAGTCTAGTATTGCGCTTAAATTCATACAGTTTAGGTAACATAGCGACGAACCCATCCGTACAATTACCATGAAAGTATTTATAAAAAGGCACAGAGATGCAATCTACAGTAGTGAGAAAGTGACTGAAGCGGAGCCGCCAGATCAGGACCAATAATATTGCTGATTCTTCTTTGGATCGTATCAAGGAGCTCCAGGGAAATAGTAGGAGCACTTCATATATGCCAGCAATATTCTAAGCATGCACGAATGGTAGATTTATAGATATGCAACATGCATTTCAGGGAGAAAAATCTTTTCGTTCAATATAGTGAGCCGATTTTCTTAGCAGCTGATCTAGGGATGGGTTCGATGTAGTCTTTCTACCTCATGTCAGCCGAGAACGTTAGCCCGTGAATGAGTCACTTTTTAGGAGGATAACACCAGAATGCTGATGGAAAGCAGAAAGGGCTCTCTCAGACGTTTAATAGGAGAAGTTTAGTCTTGGAGATGTTCAAATTGATAAGCCTTTACATACCGTCTTCAGGAATCGTTATTGTAAATTTGTCATTAAGTCACTTGAGGAGTGGCTGCAATTCAATGGAACTCGGAGTAGGTAATAAGATAAGTGAACAGGTGTTATTGATTATTGTTTCTATCTCTTGATATCGAGCACTATAATAACAAAAGTGGCTAATATTTCAGTAAGAGGACACAATTTAATAATTGAAATAAAAACAAACATAATAAAAACAAACAACAAGAAGTAATAGTATTTTTGTAGTAGCCGCAAAGTGGTAAATCAAAGAAAAAAATAAAAAAAAATCTTTAGGGGTTCTCATTTTTCTCTTGTTAGCGAGGACTGCGAATGAAACAGACAGGCACCAAAGACAAAATGTTATATATATTAAATGCATAATCATCAAAGTTTGATAACATTTGTGCCTAAAAAGCCAATCCTTCTAGCTACAGAGGGGGTACTGGAAGGACTTACTATATATGATAAAAATATAGTTTTAAGGTATGCTATATTTATGGGTAAAAATGCTCAATGTCAGGATTAAATCTTATGCATTTATGAATATAGAAGTGGACACTGAGGTCAATTCCGAAAGCGGAAACAATCTATTTCATGCTGGGACCCAATGTTCAGGCCATGCGTGTTTTGGAACGAGTATTTATATATACTGGTCAATGGTGCATTATGGGTAACAAGGTCTATTGCACAGGGTGCTATGAGTAAATTTTCGCCATTTTATATCTTAAATTTCACGCATGCGCGTTGTTTGTTTTTGATTTTGTCGACTGGACAGTATAGTACGGTCAGTTGGATAACATCTGTGAGGAAAAAAACACCATGACACAATTCACTCCGCCAGAAATTTGGAAATGTCGTTCTACAGGAGGAAGATGAGGATACTATGGACCGAACATACGAGCAACGACGAAGTTTTAGAGAAAATGGAAGCAAAAAGGACACTTACATTTAACGTCAGGAAGAGACAATTGTAATTTCTCGGGCACATAATGACAAAAGATGATTTGGAAAATCTGATACTCACAGGACAGATTGAAAGTAAATAAAATAGAGAAAAAAATGCTTCAATTCCTTTATGAGCTTGAGTAAATGGATGTCGGAACAAGGTTTAGGGCAGTGGTTCTCAACTTTTTTTTATTTTTACCAATGGATCATTTTTACTCTTAATTTTGTTGTTGGTGGACCCCCATAACCATTCGATGAGAAAAAGAAAAAAATACCAATAGATAAGTTTAGGAATTGTATTATGGAAATAGCAAATGTATATGCTTTACTTTGAAGTAAAACTAATTTAATAAAAATAAACTTGTATTTAAGAACTAAATTCTATGGAACGTTTATGTACACTAGTAAAATAAATCATAATAAAACATTTTAAAATGGAACCCCATAGATCCCAGTAATGTTTAAAATATAAATATAATATATAATAAATAAAATATAATAAAATAGATATAATATACAAATATAAATGTATAAATATAATACATAAATATAATAAAATAAATATTATACATAAAAAAAATATAGCTATAATATATAAATATTAATATAATAAAATAAATATAAATAAATATAATATATAAATATAAATAAAATAAAAATAAATAAAATATAATAAAATAAATATAATATAATATAATATAATATAATATATATATATATATATATATATATATATATATAATTTTTTAAAATATAAGATACTATATTATAATAGGAGGCCAAAAATAATTAAAAAACAAAAAAAATATGGGGACGCCTAGAAAGGCATAAACACCAAAACTTGTGCTCGATGCAAGCTATAAAATATAAGATATAAAATACAGAGAGAGATGCCTTGGAAAAAAATCTCTTACAACCACGCTACCCGGGTTTCGATCGTTCAGTCAGGTTTAAAAAGATGTAGTATAGTGTACTCCACAACAAACTTATTAAACAGCGGAAGGTGAATGGTACTGGTGGGAGTGGGACTAAGAAGGCGAAGGGTCGAAAAAAAAATTTAATATATATATTCGACTCTACCGTCGAATTCGACGTATGAAGGTCAAGCAGATCAGTTCCTAGGAAAACAACAACAGCACATGAGATTTGATTATAGTGGTGAAGGTTTCGTGCAGGACCAGCCACACTTTTGAAGGGCCGAATAGAGAGACCTGGTGCACTACAGGCCACAACGCAGGTTTTGAGTTGTCCTTCTCCTAGACCAGTTGCCATCCAGGCTACACACACACACACACACACACACACACACACACACACACACACACACACACATATATATATATATATATATATATATATATATATATATAAACTTAATACTACCCGTCAAAAGTGTGAATTTTCATTTCATCTTTCGTTTCATTTTTTGGAAGTGTTATCTGATGATCCAGCATCCTTTAAATGGTCTCTGGTGAAATAAATTATTATAATGGAACCTTTAAGTGGTCTGTTTTTCTCTAAATTATTAGCTCTGGATTTACATTGAGCTCTCAGGATTTCATCATCCTTGGGACTACCCATACGGATTACCAAGTTTTTAATATATATATATATATATATATATATATATATATATATACACACACATATATATATATATATATATATATATATATATATATATATATATATATATATATATATATATGTACAGGTGAGATGAAGCAGTTCCGAGAGTTCCGTTAAAAAATAACTTTTCTTCTAAAGTGTAGATGCTGAGAAATATAATCCCGTTACGATTTTTCGTATTGATTACAAAACTGCTTGTCGGACAGACAGAAGTAGGCAGTGTGGTATGTTTGTAGAAATGTACAGAGATAGATAGGTAGATAGGTATAAAGGTAGACTAGGAGGTAGATAAGGAGAACAGTAGACAGAATGAAAGCCAATATAGAGATCGAAAACGAAAAAAAATATTAAGAAGGTCTATTCCCCCCCGCTTTCTCTATTACTTGTTCTCACTTGAAATAAATGAAGACAGCACTAGTTACTTATTTTTAGTCTTTTTTTTTTTGACGCAGGGTGCATCTTGATTATTTTTGATGTGCAAAAAAAAAAAAAAATCAATAATTCTCTGCGTATAAGCTTTTATTTACCACAAGAAAACCCGCCAAAATAACAGCAAAATTAAACAAACATTTAAACATGCATATTTTAATCAGTTTTGTCCATGCAGATAAAAGAGTAGATCAATAAGTCCGTTTCCTGATACGAAGTCATGAGTTAAATTTTTATCTGGGAGTTTTACCCGAAAATATTCGACTGATGTCATTCTGCACTAAATTATGTGCATTGACAAGGGAAGAAAAATCCCCCACTTTTTTTTTTTTTTTTTAAATAGAATAAATTCTTTTTTAAATCATTACGCAACGTATTTACTGATATACCTATATCCAATGATGTATTAATAATCGGTAACAAACACCTGTTTTATGTTTGTGAGTGTTCGAAAGATCAAATATCTGTAGTGGACTCTCACGTCAATTTTGGCGCATGAAAATCCAGCAGTATAGTTTAGAAGTGGAGCACTAGGCGATTTGATTATAATGGGAATAGCTTGTATAGAACGAGTTACACTTTTCGGAATAACTGACAACAGAGAAATGGTTCACAGTATGTTACGAATTTCCCAGATAGGCATCCCCAAGATTCAATTTAGTTTTCATCCTTCCAGACTGATTGCAAAACCAAGGCTGGAGAGCTCAGTCTCTCCTACTATTATTTAATCCATAAGTTGGGGGAAATAGGTTTATGCATTTCAAAGAGTATTGGCTTTAATGCAATCATCAGACATCGAAGATTCCATTAAAACGTAAAACTGTCACCATAGAATAGTCATACCAATGTGCCCCTTTATATGGTATAAACAACGCGTCACAATTGAGCAAAACCCATATGAAAACAAAAACGCTTTCTGTTTTCAGTGAGACTGATTTAAAATTCAACATACACCAACGGATATATATATATATATATATATATATATATATATATATATATATATATATATAACGGAGACATTATAGTTGTTCCAACGAGAGAAAAGTGTATATTTTAAAGAGGAGAGAGAAGTTGCAAATGTTTTTGGTTTCAATGTGGATTTAAAAAAAAATATATTATACTTTATTTTCCATATTTTTGCTCTACTTGTTTCGGGTCTTCCAACCTTCATCAGGCGAAGAGTGGTTATTTCCACATATTTTAAAAGGAAATAATTTTTCCTTATGTTTACCGATGTTTAATCATTGTCTTTTGTGGGCCACACACACACACACACACACACACACACACACACACACACACACACACACACATATATATATATATATGTAAATAAAAAATCGTACTTAAATTTCATTGCTGTAATAGACTAAAAAAATAGTACTTAAATTTCATTGCTGTAAGAGACTAAATGTTTTATGCGAACGAAAGGTGTTTAATTTTATTTTCACTCAATCCTCACGCGATAAAAAAGCAATATAATACGAATAAAATTATATATATATATATATATATATATATATATATATATATATATATATATATATATGCAATATATGTCTATTTATTTTAGTTTTCTTTCTTACAAGTCCACGAATTCATTTCTTGGTGGCTGTAGAAAATTGATGAAGAAAATTTTCTTTCAAAAATTTTTATTTTCCCAATTACTTTCAATCTCACCTGAGACCATCTTCAGTGGTTGCACGTGTTATGCGTTAACACCGTAAATTCAAAATATTTTTCACCACTATGCAAGGCCGGTAAATCATGTGATTTTTAAAGGATTTTTGTAATTGTAGTATTTTAATTTAGTATTTTTATATAACACTTAGCTGTTGACAAATTTTAAGACCTTTGTTGCTATACTTGTAGCTGACTTTATTTATTTTTGTCCACCAATCTCATATATTTGAAAGAAAATTTAGGAATTTTTCTTGAATAATTTTATACCTGCCACAAAGAAATTAATTTATATATATATATAGGTTTGTTTTGTGTTAAGGTGTATCAAACGCAACCGGTTACTTAATTACGACAATAATTTTATTGCTGGTAATAATTTTATCTATCTATCTATCTATCTATCTATCTATCTATCTATCTATCTATCTCAGTATATATTTGTTTGGTTTGTTTTATTTTACGGCATATCAACCGTAATGGGTCATTTAGTGTCGACACGATTTTTATTGCTCGTAATATTTTTTATCTATCTATCTATCTATCTATCTATCTATCTATCTCAGTATATATTTGTTTTGTTTATTTTGTTTTACAGCATATCACCATCAATAGGTTATTTGATGCGGACAAGATTTTTATTACTGGTAATTTTGTTTTGAAAAATGTATTGCTGGTAATAATATTTTACAAAGTATTTCTGGTATTAAAATCTATTTTTACACTTTCATAGTGTTTTTACCACAGTTTGGGGGGTTACTATTTACCTATAACTGGGACCCTAACAGGTGCTACCACACCGGATCAGGTGGACTTGGAACACCAACAATTCCACGCTCCTCAAAACCTCATAATCAAAGTTTTGCTGTTGGATGTGTTTATCGTCTTTCCCATGACAGTATATATATATATATATATATATATATATATATATATATATATATATATATATTGAAGGAAAATGAAATTGCAACGAATTGAATAGATGTTAAAACTGAGAAAAATGATCATATATACAAATCGATATGTATATAAGTTCCCAAAGATTGGACATATCCACATTACACATACTCCATAATTAATGCACTGTTTATCTACTTTGGGCATTACTTTCGCATGCATACAATTACACCAATGGCGGATACCTTCTTGGATACATTACTACACGTTTGTTGCATCTGTTTACACGACAGTGCAAGAACTCTAGGCGATCTAACTGAACGACTCATACATATTCTAAGAGGAACAGGTTTGGCGATTGTGTCGTCCCGGGAAGTTGTCTACCATCTTGCAATGCATGCTGGGAAGTATGGGCATTATACTACAGGATCATACATAGCTTTCCTATTGAAAGGACGACAACAGAATAGATTGAAAAATGTTCTCACAATATGTGGTATCGATAAAGGTTTCCTACACAAATACAAAAGGCGATCGAATTTTGTAATTCAATTTACACCCAAGCCCAGAATCCAGGGGTAAAATACACTAGAAGATGCCGTTGCCCGGGACTCTCACAGACGCAAACAACTATCACTTGCGTGATGTTGAAAACTGTTTCAATCATTGAACAGTATAGAGTGTCATGCAATCTTCCTGTTTACTCTTTACCGAGATAAATCGTTTTAGTGTCAATGACAGTCTGACTAGTAAATAGTGCCCATAGACATTTTGCAAGTAAACGATTGTCAATGGCCCGAGTTGAAATTTCTGGGAGCAAGTTTGCGATGTCCTAACATTATAACATTATTATATGGTTTGCCATTGTTGCCATTACAATGCATCGATCGTTGCGTTTGTTTTATGTGACCGCCCTAACCTTGTTCTTTAGATATAGGAATGTTCATTTGACCTCTGATGCCAAGAACGTATCACTACTGACACATCACATTCAAGATTCCAGCGAAAGGACAATTTGGCCACTCGAAGTCACATATTGCGAGACATTTCAAACGGCTCTGAACGAAGGATGCACATGCGCGATATGATAGCTGCATGCAGTGGACTCTTTTATCACACGGAACTATAAGGAAGTATGTTTTATTAACGTCTAAATATCTGACAGAGATGGTGAACTGTTCTGTGTGTTATTACATCATCAGATGACCAAAGTATACGAATAATTTAGAATATTCCTAATATTCACATGCTATAACCATGCCTAAATTTTATTTACCGTCAATGCATTCACACACACACACACACACACACACACACACACACACACACACACACACACAGATATATATATATATATATATATATATATATATACTGTGTGAAACAGCAAAATTGGTTAAATCGTACAACAACAAAATTGTCCAGTTGTTAGATTAAGTTTTGAACCGTTGTTATCTTAGAAATGATTAAAGATATCTTACTGGAATTCTCCAACGTTTTTATAACACCATTGTACTCTAGTTTGACCAATAAGAATGTATTTAACCCTAAGTTGAAATGATGATCCCCCTTCCTGTTGTGACCTCCTGATCCAGTTTTCCTCTCTACTGTTTCCTCTTTTTAAAAAACTTATTCACCATTCTCTTGATGGTTCTTGAATGGACTTTAAAGATGGAAGCCGGAGTATGAATGTCGGTACCATTGCTGAAAGCCTGAATGATCTTTTTCCTCTCACCAGTTCTTGTTTTTTTTCTCTTAGTAATAAGAGGACATCGAAAATATATGTGTTATTGTATCCGAAATGCTATTGAAAATGAGTTATTGGTTTTTGAACGCGCCAAAGCAACGCTGAGTTTGATTTTAAATTTTTTAAAGTGTTTGCGTTTATACCAAATATGGTGATGAACAAATTTTTACTGGTAAATTTTACTGTCAAAGTAGCATGAACTATATTGTTCAATAATTACAGTAATGTCGCACTTATTATCTAAAAGTCGCACATGGATCAGTTATTTAAATTACAATAAACGTGCAATCAATTTACAAATACATGAATTATTCACACAAAACTAATGCAAAGGTTAATGATTTAAATGGCGAGACATCCATCATCGCAAACAATTCAAATAGTACACAAAAACCTCCAGATCCGTTATGAATGAATTGATCCTTGTTTATATAAATTTCTGCCGTATTAGTTGTTATTTTTACTACAAGCTTTCGTCTATTCCTACAGACATCTTCAGGTATATAATAGATGTTGTTCTTGTTTTTTTTTTCTCTTAGTAATAAGAGGACATCGAAAATATATGTGTTATTGTATCCGAAATGCTATTGAAAATGAGTTATTGGTTTTTGAACGCGCCAAAGCAAAGCTGAGTTTGATTTTAAATTTAGAACAACATCTATCCGAGTGTTGACGTCAATGTCCACTTTTATTGTTACATATGCTCTATTGAGGGCTTTGGCCCAAAAGATAGCTTTTCATAAAACTATATTTTATCATATATATATATATATATATATATATATATATATATATATATATATATATATATCTTAAATGTAAATATATATATCTTAAAACTATATTTTATCATATATATATATATGTGTGTGTGTGTGTGTGTGTGTGTGTATGTGTGTTCTGAAAAGTTCTCAGCTCGATCCAGTTCCCAAAAATCTTTTCTTCTTACGTATGTCATAATTATATGTAGATACCTCCGCGAATTCGGGATACGTATGGCTTAAAATGAATTTTTTTCAATGAAAAAAGCTTTCCTGAAGCTTTTAATTTAGTTTTAAATGAAAGCTAAATAATTAAATTTACTATATCCGGTATGCAAAATACTTTGGTGTAGTTCAGACAGAAATTATATTGATTGAAATAGTTTCATTTTTTTTTCATTAAATTCGATTACGTCAGCCCTTTTAAAATTTAATTTTCCGTTTTAAAAATATTACAAAAATAAAATATATATTTCTGAAACATTATCTGATGAAAATTATCAAATTTAAAGTTAAGTTAATTTGATTTGAAACAAATATTACTTATACAATCAAAGGGAGAAAATGGCATGGTTTGGACACATTACAAAGCACGTCATCCTGTGCAAGGCCATAATACTATGCGCCGTTGATGGTGGACGTAGGAGAGGACGCCAACGTAAAAACTGGTTGAACAATGTCAAACCATGGACAGGTATGGCTGTACCAGAATTGCTGATGTCTGCCGTTGATAAACCGTTGTGGAAAAGAGTGTGATTTCAGCATTCGGATCCGCCCTACGATTATGAAAGTCAATGAGATGATGATGATGCGGTATTGATTCTAATGTCTACATCTATCTATCTATCTATCTATCTATCTATCTATCTATCTATCTATCTATCTATCTATCTATCTATCTCTGGTCTATTCATATCTATCTATCTATCTATCTATCTATCTATCTATCTATCTATCTATCTATTTGAATTGATTGGAAAATTGCTAATGAAAGAAAAATATTTGTTGAGGCTGAGTTTTCTTCTGACATTCTCGTACTGTGTCGGGAAGCCATCAAAATCCGGTGGCATTATAAGGTCCTCCAGAACAGCGTTAAGCTAGTGGTAATGATATTCCGACCTGGGACCCGCGGCTGACCCCGGGGTCATTATTCTTCTGCAGCGCAGTTGTTGCTTGCGCAACAACATTTGCATGCATATTTATTACTGGCTTGACTTAGCAAATGCGTATTTTGGAGGCGTTACCACGATCGATGCTGACCCGCCCACACAATGTAGGAGACTGATAACATAACCCCAGCCCTGCACTGCAAGAAAGCAGGTTTTCTAACTCAAAAGAGATATGAATTTGAGTTTCGCCGAGAACGTTTTTTACTTCTTCTCTAAGCTGTTTACCAATGGCCTTGAATTGACAATACGAATATTTGTAACAAAAGTAGCCAAAATAAAATTAAAAGATTAGTAGTAAGAAACATCGGATAGTCGGCAATATTTCCTCAAATATAGTATAAGAAAGTTTAAATATTTCATGCTCTGTTATAAAATCAATGTTGTTTCATGAAAGATCCTATACAGCATTGAGCAAAATAAGTTAGCCAGCGAGGTAAAAAGAAAATAACAATTTGTTTAATCTTTTCTAAGAAGCTGTAAATATTCACCAAAGGACATCTATGAGTGGTACCTGTGCTTATCCAAGACTGTAATGCAAGTTGTTTTACACACAACACAATACAGGAGGAGATGTAGAACTGAACGCATCGTGATATTGAAAATAGGACATGGAAAAAATGAGCCGCTTGACAAGAATCAAGATTAAGATCATCCCAGATTAAGATTATCCCAGATTAAGATACGCATAAAAATGGCTCTTCTTAAACGATAAAAGATTATGTGAAGTCTGAAGCTTCTAACTTGTCTTTTTTTTCTTCCTCGGCGTAGACGTGTATATACATCTTTACCGGAAGTGACTTTTTTAGACACTGACAAATAAACACGTCCAAAACTTAATGTTTAAAATGTGTTTATACGTCGATCTTGATTATTTTTATGTGCTTCTGAACTTGAAACGAGTTCAGTTGTCAACTGATACGTCTGGGTGATGTATTAGCCATCGCTCGGGTACTTCAAGGAGCCACGGTTTCTTGGTTACTATATTAAAAACAAATTATAAAATTCGTTTGAAAATGAAACGTTTTCCCCAAATAATTGTCGGGGAAGAGGTTAAGTTTCAAAATGGGAAAGGTGAGCCTGTAGAAGACGGTGTAAATTGTCGAAATGTAACAAAATATGAGCCAACATTAAATCGCTAAGGAGCTTGAAGTATCAAGACATGATGCCCAAGTCCCCCGGAAGATGTATGCTGATTTTAGAGGTGTTTTTGGATCGTAGATCTTCAAAATTAGACATAAATAAGGGATTAAAAAAAAAGCTAATGAGGTCATCGGTATTCACGCATACGGAACATCTCGTAAATTAATCGATCAAAGTATATGTCAATATAAAATCTCTAGGAGCTTGGAACATCAAGAAAATATGCTGACGTGAGGGAAGGTTTTCAAATAAGAAAGATCTTCAAAATTAAACAAAAGAGATCAAAGAGGCCTCCAAAATGAACAACTTCCTAAGTAATGGATGAAATCAATATTTCTACTGAAATAGGATACGGCATAAAAGTCATCTAAATGGATGGATTGCAGCCCCCCCAAAAAAACCCCAAAAAACTAAGCAAAAAAAAAAACGATCCTTAACTAAAATTAAAAAAAAAAACAATGAATAAGACAATGGAAAACATTATGTAAAAGATGAATTGCCTTGAGATAATAAAAAATCGGTAAAAGTGACAAAAGTTCATTTGGTACAATAAATAATTGGAAATATTCAACAAAATCAGTAAAATTGGATTGCGGGGTTTTAATAGTTTGAAACTACATCAAAAGCAATGTTACAAGAAAGTCGATGGCATATTGAATATCGAAAAGTCTATTACGAGATTAGAGCAGCAGATGAAAAGTCTTTTACGAGATTAGAGCAGCAGGTGAAAAGTCTTTTACGAGATTAGAGCAGCAGATGAAAAGTCTATTACGAGATTAGAGCAGTAGATGAAAAGTCTATTATGAGATTAGAGCAGCAGATGAAAAGTCTATTACGAGATTAGAGCAGCAGGTGAAAAGTCTTTTACGAGATTAGAGCAGCAGATGAAAAGTCTATTACGAGATTAGAGCAGCAGATGAAAAGTCTATTATGAGATTAGAGCAGCAAAAGATGAAAAGTCTAAAGTTATTATGAGATTAGAGCAGCAGATGAAAAAGTCTATTATGAGATTAGAGCAGCAGATGAAAAGTCTATTACGAGATTAGATTATTGTGAGCAGCAGGTGAAAAGTCTTTTACGAGATTAGAGCAGCAGATGAAAAGTCTTTTTACGAGATTAGAGCAGCAGATGAAAAGTCTATTACGAGATTAGAGCAGTAGATGAAAAGTCTATTATGAGATTAGAGCAGCAGATGAAAAGTCTATTACGAGATTAGAGCAGCAGGTGAAAAGTCTTTTACGAGATTAGAGCAGCGGGTGAAAAGTCTATTACGAGATTAGAGCAGCAGATGAAAAGTCTATTATGAGATTAGAGCAGCAGATGAAAAGTCTATTACAAGATTAGAGCAGCAGGTGAAAAGTCTATTACGAGATTAGAGCAGCGGGTGAAAAGTCTATTATGAGATTAGAGCAGCAGATGAAAAGTCTATTACGAGATTAGAGCAGCAGATGAAAAGTCTATTACGAGATTAGAGCAGCAGATGAAAAGTCTATTATGAGATTAGAGCAGCAGATGAAAAGTCTATTATGAGATTAGAGCAGCAGGTGAAAAGTCTATTACGAGATTAGAGCAGCAGATGAAAAGTCTATTATGAGATTAGAGCAGCAGGTGAAATTATGGAACACCTTTTTTATAATCTAAAAAAAGAAGTTTCTCACTAATAAAAACATGACAGTATGACAAGACTGGTCTGCCGAAAGACTTCACCGTAACTTAATCGAACTTCTGCAGAGAGATTTTTTTTAAAATCGTGTGTATAACAAAAAGTTAAATAATTTACAAGAGCTTTGGGTTTACTGCCAAGTGGAATGAGAGGACGTCCTCAAAGAAACAAATTTAAAGCTGTTTTACTCTATCCTATGTAGACTTGAGCCTGGTGTTCATACCAGTAGGAGCCACACTAAACACTCCACTTCCCACCCGTGGAACTCCCTTCTGTTTAATTGATTCCATGATAGCTACAATCTACAAAGATTTAAATGCAGCATCAATCGCCATCTTTTGTCTTCTTGAATCCCATTCATCTTTTGCCCTTTCCTCAATCCTACTTATTTCCCCTTTCACCTTCACTCCCTGTAGTGTACTAGTGGCATACCCATCTGGCTTAGGGTGAAATGTTTTAAAAAAAGAAATAGTTTGTGCAATTTTTATTATTATTCGCCAACAATCATTCTCATCACCACCAACATCAGTTGCCTAACCAGGTGTGGTGATAGGGTACCTCTAGTGTGTCTTAGGCAAAGTAGACTATTCCCCCTCAAGGACAATAAAATCAGTTAATTCTACGATTCTTCAAGTTTCTCGTATATTTTGCATATCTTATTTTCAGTATCCCGATGCATTCCGTGGTATCTCTCCCCTCTTATTAAGTCTATGTGAAAGCGATAACTTGCATTATAATCCTGAACACAGAGACTGATTCTAAAAGTACTTTGTAGAAAATTTAAAACGTTTCAGTAAAAATGAAGAAAATTGATCTTTTGTCACGAGTATCACATTTTTCTGATCATCGTTGCGTTAATGACCGATTTTTTTCTTCACATTTGTCATATAGGAAGAAAATGACTAAATACTGGCACCGAGGTTCGAGCGTGACACTCTGGACTTATGAATATATGTTTCCTGCCAGGTGTATAAATAGGGTGTCAGGGTACTGACTGAAGTGATTATTGAGTGGAACTATCCAGTCGAATTAGTGTGAATTATTGTGCGTCGATGATTGGCCTTTTAATTTAGGATTTACCGAACGTTAAGCCGATTAACAAGCTATTCTCTAAAATGGTTGTCTCTGGTTGACTTTTACTTCTTTGTTCTTGTTAAGTATTTATTTGCAGCTGTAATTTAATACTGTTTTATTTTGACATTGAAGTCTTGAGTTATATTTAATTATTAACGGCCACCGTACGTCACAAAAGCATTTCAAATTTCTTTCATGGCTATCCCTTTAGTGTTCAAAATATTTAGTATCTCATTTGTACAAATCAAGAAACGGATTATATTTAAGGCAAACAATTGTTTCACTGTTACGAAATTCTTGAACATTATTGGTTGATGATTTTAGGATAGGCCAATTTCTGTACAAGGCTTGATACGTGGTGGAACCTGTCGCAACCAAATTAAATATAGAATGTGATTAACGAGTGAAACACCAGACTAAACTTAATCTAAAATAGCTGATCTATGATCATCCCAGTATGTAGTGGGATTTTATGTACTCTACAAGATACCAGAGTAAGCTTCGTATTCGGTGTCATGTCAGCACATCAGAAGATCTAGGTAACTCGAAGGTTGACATAAAATTTGCCTCAAAGCTACCAAGTGCAGAATCAGGACTTAACAGTTGTCGTTGGATGTAGTAATACAAACATAGATGTGAACCCAGCTGAAATTAAGATATGCTCACAAAAGTCAATTGAATAGCAGGAATTTACGAGTAACGGGACAGAATACTTTATATTCTCGCAAGAAGATCGAATGTTCGAAGAAAGCTCCAGAAACACATACCCTTGATTCGGAGTTTAGAAGTGAATATATCATAATTTTACATATGAAAATTAAGTTTCTTATTCATTCTTCCATCAGTATTCACCAGTCTCTACACGCATCTACAAGTATCCATTCTTCCATCAATATTCACCAGTCTCTACACGTATCTACAAGTATCCATTCTTCCATCAATATTCACCAGTCTCTACACGTACGTGTTTCATTTCTATATTTGGATCTATTTGAAGGACATTTCCTTATCAGAATATTTGTTCCGCCTGTTATCCCAAGAGATAAGTCTGAAATTCCGAACCAGACATTTTGAACATTATCTCTTAATAGTGAATATAAAATCCTTTTTGATGTGACTACCATAGATGTCTACCTGAATGTGTCTACAAAATGTGTCTATTGAAATATCTGTGGAGTCTGGAAATTCAAGTGTGATATGTCAAAAGTTCAGATTAATCTTTAGGTTGCCACTGGCTTCATAGAAAATATATTTGATATTGACGTAGATAAAATGCCAAACACCGAACATAATAATAACTAACTCTCCTTCTTTTGCTGTCAAAAGACTGGCACGCTATATATAGCGTTGCGTTTCTGCAAGTTTACTTTTACGTGTTTTAATAACAAGTTTTGTTTGAGCTTTTAGACGTTTTTTTTCCATTTTCTCAAGAGAATTAAAAAGACCCTTTGTCGTCTGCTTCTACTCCTGTAAAAAAGAAAAAGAAAAAAGAAAACATTAATCGATTATGATGTGGAAATTTTGTCTCAGAGAAAAATAAAATTAAGAAAAAAACATCGTCCTGAGCCCGAAAAAAGAGCACAGAGAATACATCTTCTTCTTCTTCTTCTTCTTCTTCTTCTTCTGTAAAAAAAGAAAAAAGAAAAAGTAAAAGAAAACATTAATCCGTTCTGATGTCATGGAAATTAAATTTCTTCTTCTTCTTCTTCTTCTTCTTCTAAGAAGAAGAAGAAGAAGAATAATTAAACATAATGGACTCAAATAAATAATCCAAAACTAATTTTACTCTATTTACATTATTCGGACTATTGTCCTCATCTTTGTCGCCATATTTATTACAACGTTTCGGCCGTTATACGCTCCGGCCTCCTTCAGGTGGTTGGAATGTCGAACTGAACCATTTATTTCGCTCACTGGGGTAGACTGTTCTAATTCCACGTGCCATGTTTAATGGATGTCAGTTATCAGTTATCTCCTGTTAATCCCCCTCTCCAAGTTCTCAACTGCCTTAACCGGGTATTGAACTCACACTCTTTGGGTTCTGTTACTGGATCTAACGAACACCTTTATCCACTGTGCCATGTGTCCTCAAGGACATATGGCACAGTGGATAATTTTACTCCTATATTTCCGTAGTAGTAAACTATCGTATTAGTATACCGTTTGAATTATAAACAATGTGTTGGAGACTCAGATCAACGCAGTGTATATTTAAGTTTCAAAATATATCTGCTTTAGTGTGAATAAAACTAATCAACCATCAAAGGAAGCGGAGTGACCTTTATATAGTGGATTGAAACATAACTTCGTGGCTTTTTGCGGTATTTGAAAATGTGATTTCGTTTCAGATGTGACTGAAATTTATGACATACCTATCGGGCGGCATTTAAGCTAGCTCCTGTGGAATTGATTGGACCTTTATCAAAATAGGTAGCGAGGAGTAGATGCAATAGGCAACAATAAACTACAGAAGAACTCAAAATTGATCGCTGCATTTAAGTATTGCATTAATATTTAAGCTTATATTTTTCTGTTGCCACCTAATTTAAAGACAATTTGATATACGTAGGTCCTTACTTTCAGTACAAACAATTATTTTTTATATCATGGGTGACTTTCGGTAGATTTCGCAATAAATTTCGATTATTCCAAAATTTATTTCCAAGTTATAAAAATTGTTATCGTACAAAAAAAAAAAAATAATCGTCGCAAAAGATCACGCAAAATATCGGTGAAAACAATCGTAGTAATGGAAACTTGGGGATTGCGGGTCCATATCAGGCACGGAATGTTTTTAATTTGCTTACGTAGTCGGCCTAACTTCAAAATGGTATGGTATGTTAGGCTACGGCCTTTAGGACTAAAGTTGAAAATGAGGACAATTTTATTTTGAAACACTGTAATTTGAACATGAAAAAGTATGACACTGACATTGGCATTTATTATATAGAAGAAGAAGAAGAAGATGAGCTAAAGAGAGTTGTGTCCCTTTAATTGAAAAAGTGTGACACACTGACATTAGCATCTCTCATATAGATCATTGTGAAATATGACTTTTCAACGCGTCTCTCTATAAGAATCTTGTGTGGGTTGTGAATTGTTAATAATTTGTTTCGTTAAGAGGGAAAATGTAACGTTCTTTTATTTCTTGAAAATAAAAAAGGTGTACCAATAGCGAAACACATATGTCTCGTTTATGGCTGTAATGCCATAGCTCAGAGTATAAGTTGTAAGTGATTCGATAATATTTGTTTTATGTTGATAGTTGAACTTTCGTTATTCGTCATGTGCCGATCCATATTTGCACGAACCCAAAACATAAACAAGTTGATGACACAAAAATACTTTTGAGCACCCACTGAAAGGAAAGAATCAAAGCTCCTAAAAGCTATAATCCCACCAAATAAACAAAACCACATCAAATATCTTTCAAAACAGGAGACGGTCTCTTGAAGTGTGTATAAAATATTAATATGCGCAATAATAATAATAATAATAATAATAATAATAATAATAATAATAATGATAATAATAATAATCAAATGAAGTCTATCTATACCTTAGATATACATGTAGTAAGATACAGCTTCAAGGTTATTAAATGGATGTTGAATGGCATTTAAAGTTTGGACGTCAAGACAAGAAAAATGTTTACCCAAATGAGGATGCGCCACCCGAAATCAGATGTTGATAGGGTGTATATACCAAGAACTTTAGGGGGCCGAGGTTTAATCCAATTTAAATTAACTCTAAAAACTACAACAATTGGATTGGAAGCCTACCTCACAAAAACGAATGACCCTCTCTTACAAATAGTAAAACACTAAATCCACTTAATCAACAAAGAAGCTGCACTCTCAAGAAATAGCATAATATACCTGAAATCCTACCAACAAAAAACGAAGCGAATACCATCCACGTCAAACGAGTAAAACAGAAAGTAATACAACTTGGCCAAATGAAATTACAACAAAACTGGGAGGACAAGGCGTTGCATTGCAAATACATAAAAAGAACGAAAGAAGCAGATGTGGACCAATAGAAAACACATCAGTGGCTGAGGAGCACAGCGTTGAAAGCTAAGACAGAAAGCCTAATTATATTCAGCTCAGGACCAAGGCCTCGCAACTAGATCCTATCACTGTCACATAACGATAGAACTAACCCGAAATGCAGGATGTGTTGAAAATATGATGAAACTGTCGACCATATTATCTCAGGATGTCCGAAACTATTTAAAAAAATGAGTATACCCACAGACATAACAAGGTAGTGAACTGGAAGATATGCAAGAAGCACAAAATTGAAACCACTGAGAGATGGTATGAGTATCAACTAGACAGAGTTATTAAAAAAAAATGTAACCATCCTCAGGGATATGCCAATTCAAATTGACAGGGAAATAAAAGCCAACAGACCTGAAATTGTCATTAAAAGACAACAAATTCAAGAAGTGTATGCTTATTGACATAGCATTAGCATATTGACGGAGAGAAATACCTCCAAGAAAATTATCGAGAAATTGTCCCAATACAAGGATTTGGAGATCGAGATTAACAGGATGTAGGGAATGAAGACTGAGACTGTACAGATAGTAATCGGGGCTCTGGGCCTCGTTAGAATAGGAATGGATAATTTTACTAAAAGTGTCCCAGGTAAGATCAACATACAAGTGGCCCAGAGAATTGTCTTATTAGGAACATCCCTCATACTGAGAAAAGTGCTATGAATTAAATAACAATTTTCATGTAGGGATTATGGACCATAGTTTGGACCTGGCAGGATACAAAGCAGGACAAATAACATACACAAATAATAATGATAATAATAAAAGTCGGGTGAGATTCTGTGCGTTGTTTTTAGTGTGGTACCGCTCACTTTAGTTATTACATATGACATAACATTTCAAACTTGTTATTGTTTAAAAATATCAGGATGTAACCAACGAAATCTATATATATATATATATATATATATATATATATATATGGACACTCCCGCCGTATTCGACGTGTGAGGGTTCAGTAACTCAGTTCTTCGAACCAAACAACCAGAGTACCCGAGCATAAAACGATAAGAAAGGATTAAACATCAATTGCAAGAAGACAGAATGCATGGTTGATAGAAAAAGGAAGGGCCCAATGTTCAAATTACAGATTGGAGATACCAAAATCAAACAGGTGCAATAGTTTAGATGTCTGGGAAGCGTATGAACAGAGGACAGAAAGTGCAACATGGAAATCCGAAGTCTCACTGGGATAGCGAAATATGCCTTTCAAAAGCTGAGCAAAGTATTAAGAAACAAATAATAACATTTGATCTGAATTTGATCTTTAACCCACAGATATATATATATATATATATATATATATATATATATATATATATATATATATATATAGGTAAAATGAAAACAAATTGAGTATTATTACACTGTGCGTAACATAATTTAAAAAGAGGTCTCAATACAGAGTAGAGATAAATATTATTTAGTTTAGGATATTTAATATCCTAAAATAAATTTTATATATATATATATATATATATATATATATATATATATATATATATATATATATATATATATTTTTTAAAGGTCCACAACAGAATACACTTGCAAATATTTGATGAAATATAAAGACATTTTGGAATGCTTACTTTTCACCACTCTCTCATCCAAACAGAAACAGTTTTATGTACTTTTATTGTAGCTCTCATACATACAAGGCTCTACAAAAAGTCTGAATAATGTGTTCCTCTTACGTTCAATTCACGAATAATGTGTTCATCTTGCGTTCAATTCACGAATAATGCGTCTATGTTGCGTTCAATTCACGAATAATGTGTTCATCTTGCGTTCAATTCACGAATAATGTGTTCATCTTGTGTTCAATTCACGAATAATGTCTTCATCTTGTGTTCAATCCATGAATAATGTATTCATCTTGTGTTCAATTGTGTTCATCTTCTGTCTCGACGGATTTTCACACAGATTTCACAATAATTGTTTTCTTGAAGATTTCTTAGTTTACAAATGCCATTTCATGATTTAATATACATAATTTTGGATAGCC